GAGCACAGTAAAAAAAAAACCACTTTTGCATTTTAGGGCTGTACTACAGGTTTGGGGGGCTTTAAGATCAGTTCACTTGGCCAAATATTTGCATTTGATGCCATCTGACTTCTAAAACATGCCTGGGCTGAAATAAAGCCAAGCAAACCAAGTTCTCCCTCTCACAAGTGCTTACCCTAAGCCAACACTTTTTTTCTTCCATTGGAAACCAGGACCACAGAAGCTGAAAAGGCACAATAATATTTCAGCGTCAGGCACAGCACTATGAGCTGCTTTGCCATTTGTAACCTTTCTGTATTTTGTGCTACCTTTTTACCTTTGGCTGAGGCATCAACATTATTATTTTGAACTTTACTGACAAAAATAGTCTGAAGCCCTTTCAGATGTTGTGCAGGGAGGGAAGACAGGCATTGATGGTTGTCAGAACATGGAAAAAAGATGGGGAAAAAATATGTCTAAATGTTTACAAAAAATATCTTCCTCAGAAAAATACCTTTATCATATTTTAAATGGTAAAACGTGTACTTGCTTTGTCATGTCAGGAACACCATATAGAAAACTGTTACAGGTCCTTGCACCAACTTTCTGACATAACCAGCTCACCACCACACACGAACAAAACTCATCCAAAATAGAAGTCTCCCCTGAAACAGGGATTTCAGGGTAAAATTTCTCCCCTGAAACATGGGAGTGTTTCTGCCTTCCTCAACCCAGACCAAACCAGTGCCTGCTGTGGTGCTGTAAAAACATAAGTCTGCTTTGCCCTCTTCCTCCTCACTTCCCAAGGCAGGATGGTGTCTGGCCATCACACTCCAGCCACAGAGGCACCATGAAGTTAATCAAACTTAGGATCAATTTACAAAGTGCAGAAGCTAAAAGACAGGAGATAAATCAATGCAAGCAGTGCTGACATGAAGGAAGGAGCGATCTTAGACACGATGTGCCACACAAACATGGCCATCCACAGCCAGACACTTGCAGAATAAAACTGAAGTAGAGGGCTTTAATAGATTTTTGCATGTCAAGTTTGCCTCTTGATGGTCTTTCAGGGAGGATATGGACTACCCAAAGGGCCTTTTGTTAGCCTTTTTGTTTTAAGCTATAAAAAGTGTCAGTTTTTTTTTTTTTAATTGACAGAAATAAAATTTAATCATGGCATCTTATTTCGACAAGAGGGGAAAAAACAAAGAACTGTTTACACAGCACAATCAATAATAGTCACGAAATAGTGCTGCAGGACATTTTTAATCAAACACTGGTGTACACTAGGCAAGACAGATTTCAGGCTTTAAATCATTCTGGAGAGCCATGCAGCAAGACAAGCTGTCAAGATTTTACCTGAAATTTTCCAGCTATGTGATATTTTTGAAGAGAACCTGGACCTTGCTAGAGGCTCTGCAATGGATGGGTACGTTGTCTCTAAATAAGATTTTCTTTCATTCTCTGAAGTTTGTGACAATGTCTACCTTGACATATTGCCTTCACAGTGACAGTAAGTAGGCATTTGCTCAGAGTTTACAGTTGAAATAGCTGAGGCATAGACATGGCCTAAGATGACTCAAATGTCTTCTTTTAAAACCTGAAACATGAGGTGCTTTCAGCTGCCTCACTGAACAGTCCTTAAAAGCTTGCTAAAGTTTAAAGAACAGCTCAAGAACAAGATGAAGCACTGGGAAAGATTTTTTTTTTTTTTTTTGTAATTACCTTGCTTCTTAGAGGTGCTTTGAGCAGCACCACTAACACTGAAGGCAAGCCTTCAAAGTCAGGGTTTTTTGGAGTGCAACAAAGGGCACGTCCATTTGGGGCAGGGATGGAGAAGAGAGGAGCAACAGCTCCTGCCCCAGTGCTTCCTGGCTTGCAAACTCTCAATATATATAGCAAAGAACGCAGGCCACATTTTGGCTTACAAAACACTGCTAAAGTGATCCAGTTATGAGGACACTTTCCTCTCTACACAACAAAAATAACCCATTTAAATGGAGAATTAGGATACAGCAGCACAGGACTATTAGAAAGAGAGATAATGAAATTTAATAACTTAACCTTATTTAAAACAAAACTTTCATCTCTTATGCTCTCCCAAAATGGTTAATGCTAAAGCAATAACATTGTCCAGTGGGTGTAACTGCAGCTCATCTGCACCTCCACATTGTTCAGCATCCCCAGAAAGATTTTATCTTTTAAGAGGTCCCTGCAGCAACAGGATCGGACGTTCTATGCTCCAATTTTTACCATCAGTTAGGAAACTTTAATTAAGCATAAGGAAAGCAAGGATTTTTTCCAACAATTTCCTGTATTTTAATTTTGTTCACAAGTATTTTTGCTCATTTTCATAAAGCTTATGAAAAACAAGAAGTTGATGTTAGGACTACTGGTAGGAGTTAGGTATTGGCATATACACCTGACCGCAGTTGTGAGTGTACTATGAGGACAGGCTTTCTAGAATCCACAGAGTAATTCAACCAGCCCAGAGAGATGCTACCCATACCAGAGACTCCATTATTTTGCACATGACAACACTGATCTCAAACTTAAAACCTAGTAGATGCCGTGGAAGCCTACTAAAATAGGGATTGTTGTGTCCAGCTATCAGAATATTTATCATTTTTCCTAAAATTTTAGCTGTTTCTGAAATAGGTCTTCAGACCATGAACAGCACAGAAGCGATGTTGTTCAGTTTTCTTTGGGCAAAGATTAGCACTGCCCAGTTGTGACTGATCAATGGAAAGAAATTTGGTGGAAGCCACGTGCAGATTTTGAGCATTAGAAAGTTTTCAACTCCTTTACAAGATCAGCTTTTAGCACTGTCTTTCAAAATGGCAGAGCAATCTTTTCACATCAGTTCACTCCCACAAGCAGTCGAGTGATAGATCGGCTTTCCTTGCAGTCACTGGAAATTAAAGGAGTTCAACGCTTTATAGCCAGTCTCCAGTTGTCCAATGGGTGCTATATTATACGTTATTTGACTATTCCATACACACACTGCTCAGATCCTGCCTCCCAGAAGCACTTTTTCAGGGAAAGAATACAATTTTGATTTATTCCTAGAGCAGTGGAAAACCGCAGTACAGAATTACTCAGGGGTAGGCTGCAGCATTATTAAAATTCATTACAAGCCCAGAGAACAAATTAAGTAGCCCCTATGCAGTGGGAGCAACATCAGAGCCTGAAATCAAGTCAGAGGCTCACGGCCTGTGCGCATCGCTGGGAGACACGTGGGCAGCTTCCCAGCGTCCCGTCACAGTTTTCCAGCTGTAAATTCCTGAGCTAAAAACTGGAAAAGAACATATTTCAACTTCCTTCTGGAGACAGCTACAGAAGGACTGCAAAAAGGGTTTTATGGTCATAAATAAAACATAGGAAATTAATTTTAGGGCCCTGAGCTACCATAACATTCTAGGCACTTCATAAGCAACGTTAGAACCATAAAGCATACAACAAAAAGCACAGGGTATTGGAGGACCATAAATATTTAATGTTTTATCACTGTGCCTTTGTCATAAAGGTGTTCAAATCCTACAAAGATGTCCTTGCACTCATCTTCGGGCACATAATCCTCTTACAAGGGGAGGCCACATGCAGGGTGGAGGGGCTGCACCACACACCCACCTGCTTTAGCTTCAGACAAAACTTATGTGGCCATTTTCTCATTTCTGAGGGGGTGAGGATGCTCGGGAGGATTCTGGGTTGACAGTACAACTATCTGCAAGCTGTGAGTGCTTTATAAAAACATTATAGGTTATGTATGGAAAGCTATTCAGCTCTCCTCCAGCCATAAACCATGCCTCGTTGCTTGTGCCAGAACTGTGGCCTCTGGGTTACAACTGAAACATATCAGTAAATATCTGTGTAGCAGGTACTCAGAAGGGCAGAAGACAAGTTGTCCTGATGGCATGCACACTGAGGAACACATCAGAAGGCCATATCCTGGTGATTAATGGGGAATCCATGAGCCCTGATCCTTCCCTTGCAAAGGACAAGGGAAGCTACATAGGGTTTCGATCAAGTTAGATATCTTCATGTTATAGCAGCCCTCAGACTTGGATCCAGACAATATATCTTAACACTGGTTGTAATGCAAAAGCCAGGTTCAAATCTCAGTCCTCCGTAACACAAGTTTTATAACTGTGATTCTATTAAAGCCAAGCCAATGGCAACATAGGACCAATTATCCACATAAGACCCCAGCAATACATATTATCTGATTTCATTCAAATTTTGTGAAAATTCAAGTGCTGCATAAGAAGAATAATTTTTTTAATGCTCTTTCAAGTTGATACTATTTTTTTTTTTCCTAAATTAGTCAGGAAATGAAGCTAGGAAGTTCTGTAATTACATCTAAAGCAATCAACATATGAAATATTTTGAAGTGTTCACAGAAAGTCAAATTCTTACACTTGCAAAAATAATGCACCTTAGACCTCCTCAAAATAGGACGGGGACTGAGGAAGTCAAACAGTATTGAGTTTTCACTTCAGGACTATGGATCACAACAAGAGCAGATAGAAAAATATACAGAGAACCAAGGGTCAAAGGAACATAGTTTTAGAAATGCCCTTACAGGCTTTCTAATCCAAAAGGCTTGATAAATCAAAAGATTAATTTATAGACAGTCAGAGATCTCAATAAGAAGCTCATAGCTTTTTTTTTTTTTCCCCTCATAGGAACTTTTGCTTATAAGCCTAAGACTTTTTTTAAATATAAAAATGAAAATATAGAAAAAAAAATCAACACATGATTCCCAAAGCCAAGATCATGACAGAAGTAATTAATTCACTCTAAAAGAGCAAATTAGCAAAAATTCATCTCTTTTACAGAGTTGGCCATAGTTGGAAAGTTAAAACAAATATAACACCTTAATTATTCTGTACCAACAAATACACCTTGGGTGTTCAGAAAAGTGGCTTGATTCACTTAGCTATTGTTTTTCTTATCACTCTAATAAAAGCTTTTCACAGTAAGAAGAAGTAAGATACAAATACAAGAAACATTTCTTTTACCTTTACTGAAGACTTCCAGCTCTTGCAGTGAGATCCACACAATATTACAACATAAAATAAGCTGGTTTGGTTACAAAACTGTTTCACAGAGACCTGCACAGCCTACCACAGCCAACATTGCTCTGAATGAAGACTTCATTAAGAAGCAAGGACCACAGGTTCCTATTTAGCACCTCTTATTTCTTGATTGACAAGTCAGATTTAGTGGGGGGAAAGGGAACTAGAGCTGTTGTCCTGGCAGGTGGTAAAAGGCTCAAATAATTGTTGGTTAGATCAGCACAGGTTCGACAGAAAAACAAATCAGAATGAATCACAGCTGGCCCTATGGTTAGGGCATATATTTATGTATAATTAGGCAAATCCTAATTCACTTCATTATGGAGCTTTGGGTTTTTAACGTAGGGTCCAACTAGTGAAAGAAACCTAAAAAATAAAATAATGCAATAAATGTTTGTGAGAGCGACTGAGGTGTACAGGTCCAGCTTGGAGGGGATATTAATACACATCTATATTTGAACTAGTGATCTGGCAGGTCCTCTTTAAACCTGCAGCACATATATGTGTCAAAAAGATATGGATAGAGTATATGGATATGGATAAATTCGACTTTAGAGCTCAATTTCTTTAAGGATATATCTTTGCCTAGGTGGATGTTGCATAACAATTTGTGCAGGTTCTTGCTCTAAAAGGATTGAGAATGCCTTTGTTTCCATAAATACTTTGTGGCACTCTGCTTTAATTTGCTCTGAATTTGGTTTATTGCTGATGTCTGCCAGTTTCCACTCACTTTTTAATTTGCTTCCTTTTTTTTTTCTTTCTAACCAATAGCTCATACTGCATTCTAGTCATACAGTTTTGGAAGCAGCTTTAGGAATGTGGTTAGCAATGCGTATAGAACAGTATTTATTTATAAGAACACTTCCAGTTGACACAAAGGCAAAGTTCAGAAGAGCTGTCTGAGCCACTGCTTGCAGGTGCTGTCAGGAGAGGACTGAGGTGGAGATGTGGGGCTGAAGGACAGCTGGAACAAAATGACACAGGACCTTCTCACATTGTTTAGAAGGTTACAAATGCAGGTTTTAGGGTCAAATTTTGCTTAGAGTGTGAAGAAAATTAAAAAAAAGAATTTACAATGTAAGTACTTGAGATTACTTAAGACTAGAGAGCAAGGCTTTAAGTGAGGCAGAAATAATGAGCTGTGATGTATGATATTTGTAATAGAAAATTTTACTTCAAAAGATGTATTTTTAGCAGATGATCTATAAAGTCTAGTTCCTCCTACTTTTTTTTTTTTTTTGAACTTATAACAAACTCTTTTCTTTTTTTTTTAATCCTGCTGCTATTACCAAGAAAATAGACACAGAAATACCCCTTCCTTGTGGCCTGCATAATATGTGAGAAACAGTGAAATGTGTAGGTAATGCCTGTTTTCTCATCCAGTGAATCGAACTGAGCTTTAATTTCCCTGATATTTCAGTGTTTACTTAAGATACATCCAACTCAACATCTCACCTAAAATAAGTAAATGCAAACTACATCATGCTGCCATACCCCATGTATCAAAACTGAACCTGAACAGACGGGCCATAATTTGTACTCAGATAGCACAGGCTATTAAGGAAAGCAACATATGTGGAAGGGTAGTGTTGAGCTTAATTAACGATGCTAACACAGGAAGCTAATTTTACTCAAAGTATGGTCATTAGAAGTCTTTGATGTATGTAATTTATCCACAGCCATTGCTGACATGTGCGTATGGAGATAACTCAATGAAGCATCATTTTATCAGTGGTAATGCTATGCTTTCAAGGACAATATTTGTTTAAAAATGAGAAGCTGCTGCTGTCTTGATAGAAAATAATGACCCTGAAAGGCAAGAGGCTGCAAGTGTTGTCTGCAAGTAAGGTTGTGGTTTTCCTCTGGAAGGCCACGTCCAGGTATCTTTTAGCAGCCTGTCAACCTCAGTGAGGCACCAGGAAAGTCTGAGATTTCAGCCTCTGTGACACTGCCCATCATGAAGATATATTAAACTGCAGGAACAAGACATTTAGAGGGCAGAGGTAATCCCAAGCATTTTATCTCAACCTCAACCATGAGCATAATTCAGCTGCTGAGATGAGCCCTACCCAAAACATGGACAGAGCCGGGCTGTTTCCTGAAAAGCCATGTCAAATACATCATTTTTTTTTTTGATGTCAAATGCATCGTACCTTAAAAACAAAATAAAATAGAATTTCCAAAAGAAAAAGAAAGCTGTAATTGTGAACTGCTGTGATGGCAAGGGCTCCACATTGAGCACTCATCTCACAAAGATGTGCTCCCAAAAGTTTGTTCCCCAAGCAAGTCTTTTGCATCAGTTAAAAAACAAACAAACAAACAACAAAAACAAACACCAAAAAAATATTATAGCTGAGAAAAAGAAGAAGAAAGCATTAAGAGGGCTATAAAACAGGTCCGAATCACTACAGAACAGCACAATGTCCTTCAGGGGTTGTTTCCCAGCCCGGGTCTGTACCAAGCACAGTAGTGTAGAGCCCAGCTGTGCATGCAGCATCAAGCAGCCAGGCAGCTATGAAGCACTTGCAAAACAGTTCTTTAGTCCACATTAAAACAATTTTTGAAGACACAATGCTTTTACAGTGTATTGCAGTGCATGCAGTCCCTCCCTCCAAAAAAAAAAAAAAAAAAAAAAAGGGGGGGGGTTGAGGCAAATTTCTCAGCAGCAGTTTGTAGAGACAAACCTTGCCCATCTCCACTCTTCCACTTGAGAAATTTTAACATGGGAAAGAGAATTTAACCCAGCATGCTATTCAGGTAGATCTTAAAGCAACTGGACTTTTGAAGATCCTCTGGGGAAAAGAAAAGTTAATTAATGGTGTATCATCTCGAGAGTGTCTTCCTGAAGCCCCAGAGGTGCCAGCTAAAGCCATTACTGCCTCATTTACAGTGACAGTCATCTTGGCTCTGCTGTTGCTCCCTTAATTTTCAGGGCAGAAGGAGTCAGCTTCTCATTAAATATTTGTATTTCTTCAGAGCTTTTTTGTTTTCCAATCTCTTTCATTAAGAGACCTTAATGAAATACTTATTCCATTAAGAATTCAATCCCTGCTGCTGGATAATTTTTCTTCCGCAAAAATATATCAAGATGAAAACAATGTTACATCCCTGATGGGATCACCCTAGCACCACAGCTACTAATCAGCCTTTGGCCGACTTGATTATTTTTCATAACCAAATGCATTAGGGATATATGTATATATTAATTTCTTCTTCTCTACTCCCAGTGCTATATATATATATATATATTTTATATTTTTTTATTTTTTTTTTCTTCTCATTTTAGGACACCCATTTTACCTTTTCATTCTAGGTTCCTGATTCTTGATTTCACTGTTACCTACCAGAGATATCTCTTGGGGAAGGCAGAGTCATTCAGGTCTCTCAAAAGAATGGCATTGCTGTAAGAAGTATATGACACAAAAGACTTAAATCTCAATTGTAGTGGCTTGGTTCTGCTGTGGGCATAGCAGCAAGGGAAATTCAGTTGAGCAACTTTAGTTTTGTCAGTAAAATATAAATGCAATGAAATGTATCTTGGATTTCAAGAGTCATTCCAGTCTCCTACATCGCATCCTCTCAGTTGAGCAGAAGGCAGGAGGAATGAATATAATTTTTACCTGTATTTCTTTATGAGATGAATGAATGAGTTTCTGCTGTCATTTGCAGTGAGAAATATGGAGAGTGCATATTATTTTCAGGATCTCCAGAGTGTGAGAAAATTTCAGAAGCATGAAATATCTCACCCCCTTAGCAAACCCTTTTGCTCAGTTGTTTTATAGCCAGCAGGAGAAAACTGCTGGAACTTTCTCTGAAAATTGATGACTACTGGTAAAGATATCCTAATGATTTGGGTCACTTTGAATTATAAAAGTCGCCATTGTACTCCTGACTATTAACTGTTTCCAGAGTACAGTGCTGTAAGTGTCAAACCCGAATGATGTGTAGTGCATTTAGCTAACCTCTGACTCAAAACGTATCTGTCTGTAAGGTTACACCCCTGTGATGAGAAGTGCAGATACTCGGTGGGGTGTCCTGAGCAGACACGGCACTCCCAGCCCATGCTGATGGGGTCAAGGGTATGGCTCTGCAGTCTCCTCACACATTTCTGAGACTACAAAATCATTTTAACATTCCCAAAGTATTGGGTGAGAAACTTTGGGAAAAAAAATAAATAAATTATACAGTTGGAAAAAAATAAATTGCAAATTAGAGAAACCGTGCTGTGGAGTTGCCATCCCTAGAGATTTTCAAACGCTATCTGAACATGGTCCTGGGCAAGCAGCTCTAGGACCTCTAGCTCCAGAGGTCCCTTCCAACCTCAGTCATTCTGTGATTCTGTGATTCATATCAGGCTCATATATGGTATGGCTCATGAAAATGTCTTCCCCTTCATGAAGAATGATCTCCAGTCTCCTGAGCTGTACCCCATCAGGCCTCTGAGAAGATAAAGCATTGCTGGGCCTCTTACTGCTCCTAAGCCCTTGAAAGATTCCCAGCATGGAAATAACCTTTCCAGCCTGGGCAGAGCTGAAATGCCTGCTGCCTAGGGTATTAAAATATTTGTTCTCTCTCAAATGGACTGCCACAAAACCCTCAACAGTTCCTTAAATTATGCCCTATTTCCAGCAGGAGTCAGAAGGAGCCCACCCTGGGCAGCATGCGAACCTGTGTAGGTCTGGGCTGAGCATCCACAATTTCAGCTTCTCATTCTTGTTGAGATGATGTGTTGGTGATGAAGATGACACTGATTTGAACACAAATAGGATTGGGTACACTTTGTTCATTCCAGCAGAATAAGAGATCCCATTGTCTCTAGAGAAGCAAACAGGTTGAAATGGAGCAACGTTACGAGTGATCTGTAATGTTCACACCAAATCAACTCAGTTTGCTGCAATTTCAGCAGGCTATGACATCAATTATTTTCACTGTGATGAGCTCAAATGGTTAGCTGCATGTAAAATAAAGGCCAGGAGAGCTGGGTGGCTGTGATCCAAGTCACAGCATTATCCTGCAATGGGACAGAGGTGTGCTGGAGACCAGGATAGACCTGTATATGGGAAAATATATGAGCAAACCTCATATATAAAGAAAAAAGTTTAACAACAATAAGGAAACAAAGGCACAACACTTGGCACAGGAGAATTTTTGTTTGAAAATAACTGGGAACTTACACCAACAACTTCAGTCCATTTTCC